TTTACTCTCCGATGGCTTGAAATCCCCGGGCGAAAATTAAGCCCGCGACCTCGATAATCTCGCGTCAACTTAAATATGTATGCGAATTCCATCCTGTTTACAATAACACGAGTATCTGGCAAGCTCAACGACGATGGCAACTGATCACGTATGACACAGATATTTTCTTAACCTCTAAAAGGCTCACCTACGGCCAAGCGAATGCGTCGCACTTATACCGAGAACCAGCTTTTCTCTCTCTCTCTCTCTTTATCTGTCATATAGCAAGCAATTCCATCCCAAGCTTGAAAACAAATCGTTGCGCAATGGCGGGATAAATTGTTCCCGCTTCGACATTAAATCGACGTTAAGGTGCGGCTTTCAAGAGCCAAGACTCTTGGGGCGTGCAAGAGTCGAATTTTCACTTCCCCCTTCGACAAAACAAATCGTTACGCAACGGCGATTCAAAGTTACTTCCGCGTTGATATTAGATCGGCAATAATATAATAAAATAATGGCCTCTGAGCTAACGCTAATTCCGAACCGAGTTCGAAAGTTCAAAACCGGTCTCTCTGTTACGTAGCGACTCCACATCTCGCGATTGAAAACAAGATTATTACGCAACAACGAGCGAAGTTTCCGCTCAACATTGTTAATTTCAAATCGACGAAAAATCACCGATTCCACCTTGACTTAAATATTCGAAAAGAAGACCAAATATACATATATCTGAGATAATACATTTTATATTAAAAAATTTAAATCAGAGTAAAATGCGCAATTTTTCTTTCTGCAACATGAGAGACGGTAATGGCGATTTCTTGGTAATTTAAATGCCGTACAGTGATCTTACTACTATCGAGCTAAAAGTGTTGACTTGTTGCTCGCATCGTTAAAAATAACCATTTACGCGAGAACATTAGAAATACATTAGAGAGACTGCAGTTTATGCAAAGCGTGCGAAGTACGTGTGACCTGTTCTCCTAAACTTCCATAACGACTTTACTGTGCACAGAAGTGAATAACCGCGTCTCGCGATGCTCACTCGAGTTTCACGCTATTAGGATATGCAAATAATTTATATGAGAGACGAGGAATAATGATAAAACACAATGTTACGAAAATTCATTTAATACATTTCATAATTTATCGGTGATTAATTACGGAAACAATAATATCGCGCAAAATATATATATAATTTCCAAAGAATATTAAAAAAAAAAAGAGTAATGTAAAGACTCTTCAAAACAGATCGACAAATCTCTTTTCGATTTTTCGAGACCTATATTTCTGGCTGATAATTGAATCGGTTTCTTTCCATCAGCGAAATTTGACTGCATATCATATTTATCCGCGATTTTAAGGCTTCAGTATTAAATATCAATTGTATCAACCAAATAAATTTAATTAAAGTTCACATAAAATTAATCGAAAAACAAGATTGATACGATTTATTGCCTAAAGGGCAATTTGTAAAATTTGTGTCTTTTATAAATCAATTCCTTCATAATTATCCACATTTTGATATTTTTGTTCAACTTTGCTAGATACATCCAATACGCCTATTATCTGTATGACAATTATGGCAATTTTTAGTACACGTAACACGTGTATATTTCTTTTTAATTATTAAGATATGTTTAATCCCGATTTCGTGAAGAGCGCATTGCAAATCGAATGCGTGCGAAAATATTCGATCGGACAGTGAACGATCGACGACCTCGTTAGCAGACGACACTTTGCACCTGCAAATGCAACAGACATCGCAGACACTAGTGAAATGTTCACCCCGGACACTAACTCGTAAGCGCTAATGACATGGATTTAAATCAGGCGTGTGCAAACGTATATTAATTGTACGCGATGTTCACCTTTCAGTCTCTACGCATAATCTTTGCCGGTAGAATATCTAAATTATCCGATAAATAAATCACCCCGATACGCCGTTTAAGTAGATAAGCAGCGGACGATCGCCTTTAATCACGCGTGTCTACCTGCATTACTCACTCACTGGAGAATCATAGTTTACATATTCGTAGATTATCGTTTCTGTTTACACTACTATATACTATTAATTCTGACGATTACTTATCCGATTCTATTTATATTTTAATCCGCGCTTCGCATGAGAACGGACTAGTTACACCGCGTGAGGTAAAATTCGCGCTTCACTTACGTAGAAGATTACGATTCTCCCATTCGCGTTCCTAATGTAAATTTAACAGAATTACATGAATCATTACTTCTCCCTTTCACGCGGATCCTGTGCAACCCGCGACGAGATGCGATCTAATAAAGCCGCGTTATCGCGCACCCCGCGTTAACGCAACGTGCTTTCTATGCGCGGTACAAAAGTCGTACCGCGTGCAACTATATGCCGGAACTGTACGCGGCTACAATTTGAATGCTACGCGGCTTCATTTGCATGTCAAAAGAGAATACGGTCGTTAATGCTACCCGGTGTATATACGAACGACGAGCGGTAGCAATGATCGTACGAAGATCGTAACTGGAACACGCGCGAAATTACGCGCATGTGATTCTCTCGCTAAGCAATTCCCCCTCCCTCTATCTTCTACGCAAATCTGCCACCGGATATAAATCCACGTGCGAAAATACGAGAATCGAGCCCCGGGCGAATAAACGCGCGCGATTTTCGACGACGAGAAGTTCGATGACCTGTGCGATTGGATAATGAGTAGTGTCGCGGTTAAAATTGGAGAGAATCGTTCTTCGAGTCGAATTACGTAACGACAAGCATGACGACGATTACGTGCGGTTGCGACGATTCTAATAAAGAACCGGGGAAATGAATAAAAGAAGGCGCGAGTCTCTTAATTGATACGATTAAGACTCTGAACTTTTCGCAACTTTTTTTCGTAATATATATTTTATATATATATATATATATATATATATATATATTCTCTTAAAAATTCGCGCGGAGTTACTTTTATTATACCAATTAAGAAAAACGATTATCTCACACGCACGATATTAAATTATATTCTGCAGCGTGAGATTTTATTTTCACACATTATTACATGCGTTAAAAATTCAAACAGAAAATAAATAAGACGTTGCTTGCCAGATACTTTATAATTCTTGACACGGATTGATATTTACTTCTTCGCATTCGCAAGTATAATTTTTTTAATAAAAATGAAGTTGGTTTCGTCGAGCGAAAAGTTTATACAATCTTTTTAAAAGTGTTTAAAAAAGATAAATAAAATATAACCAATATAATAATAAATATAATAAAATAAATAATATAAAAAATATATATTAGAGTTATATTACATATAGATAGATTATATTATA